GCTTCGGCAAAGGCAAGGTGTTATCAACTAGGAACAGGGACAAGCTAGGTACCAAGCTCCCCCTGGCTCTTTCCCCAGGGACGATATCAACAGACAGGTTGTCTTCAAAAGGAATTTCAGGACTTACACTTACAGCAAGACGACCTGGTGTACCTCTATTATGGAAAGGCACATACAGGCGAGCACAATACAGTGGTACACTACGGTTCCAAAACACCTGCGGGGATTGGAGCAGGCGTGTACGGCCTCAAGCAGAAGCTTTCGGTGCCCCTGGGAACCTTCCCAAGCATCTTTCAAGCGGAGGTCTATGCCATCAGTATGTGCGCAGAGATCAACATGAGTAGGAACGATAGGAATGAAAGGATACTTATACTAAGTGCTAGTCAGGCGGCACTTATGGCTCTCTCATCATTCGAGATCAAGTCCTCCTTGGTTTTGGAGTGTGTCGAGAGGCTTAATGCTCTGGCGGATATTAATGATATCCACCTAATGTGGGTACCTGGGCACGTGGGGGTTGCAGGAAATGAGAGGGCTGATCTCCTGACCAGATTAGCCGCTTCCTCGACCCCGATAGGACCTGAGCCTTTTCTGGTAGTGGGACCCATTATCATAAAGGATATGCTTAGATGGGACAATTGCAAACTGAGGGAACTGCATTGACGTGACACCATGGGTCAACGTCAGGCGAAAATCTTATTAGGACGTTACGATCTGACAAGATACAGGCTACTCCTGAATTTTCCAAAGGATAAACTGAGGGTTATTACAGGATTTTTGACTGGCCAATGTAGGCTAAGAGGGCACATGTACAAACTAAGTATCTGGTCCAGCGACCTGTGTCGCTTCTGCGATGCCGCCAAGGAAACTCCCCTGCACCTTCTTGTAGAGTGTGAGGCCGTTGCGCGCAGGAGGTATAGGAGCATAGGGCATGTCTGGCCAAGAGAGGAGCACATACACTCACTGTCCCCGGGGTCTATTATGAAGTTTTTAGACACTCTGGGGCTGGTTGAGGAGTTGTGATGAGCTAGGGGCACAATAGACCCACCGGTCGCAGTGCCTTATATATATATAAGAGTCCGAATGTAATAATTTATGAGGCCGATAAGGGCCTCGAAAAGAGTCTGAAATGATTCATATATGTGGCCAAAAATGGTTTCAAAGAGTCCAAAATGAGCCGTTTATGACCCCTTTAAAAGTCCAATATGACTCATATTGAGGCTCATTTGATGTATGAATTCAATCTCATATACATAAGTCGACCTCCTGAGGAAGGGAAACGCCCGCGTATCGGACTCCTAAATGAGCTCATTATGAGCGTAAAGGCTCAGAAATAGGACTCCTTAAAGACTCATTTATGACTCCAAATGTTTGCTGGGTTATTAAAAAAAAAACTTTTTATATTTTTGTTTTTATTTTTTGATGTAGAGTTCAACCGGGCGCACTGCAAACCCCTACACCCCAGCGGCCGTCCCCCGCAAGTCGCCTTACATTCTATAAAATTTGCCGGTGTTATTTTTATCGGCCAGCATTCCAAGCCCTTCGCACTCATTTATATACATTAGGGTGGTCCAAAATAAGTTAAGTCGGATATTTAATGCTCTCACCCCCTAGGATTGTTCTATATCGAAAAAAGTATACCCCTATTTTTTATTTTGACATCGAAAAATATTTAGAGATCGCTCAAAGTGGTCCAATGTATTTTGTATGGGAAAAAACAACTTTTCGGGAAAATGGTGTGGAATTCTTGAAAATCAATATTTTTTGATCGGTAAACTCTGGTTCTGGTTCTGGGTTAACGAAAATTACAACTGTGAAAAAATATCAGCCAATAAAATCAAACAAATTGTCAAATAAGCATATTTACATTTTTTGTTTTGTCTATCTGGATTACTCTATACTGCGGATTTTACTAGATTCGGTCTCTTCTCTATTCTCCGTTTCTGAATTTAAAGTTTGGCGTAAAAAGCTTTAGCTTTTTCAAGTTTTGTGTTTTAAAAGTGTGAATATTTTTCACACCACTTAAAACTCGGAGCGATAAAAATAGAAATCATGCCATCAATACAAATAAACTATTTTACAAATACGGCACATCGTCGCCTGGGTAAAAGATTGTCGTAAGCGCGATTTTTATTTTTAGATGAAGTTATATAGTTTTAAATAAGGTCTCTCGATTGGTGCTATCAGTTTTCGGATATCTCCTTTAGTTTCCGAGATATTGACCACAATTTTTTCGATAATTTAGTAAAAATTTAGTTAGTAATGCAGCCATATTAAACTAATCAATATATTAAAAATGGCGTTCTCCATGGCGGATATCTCCTTTAGTTTCCGAGATAATGAGTAAAAAGTGTCGTTAATTTGGTAGAAATTTTGATCCCATTTTGTCGTATTTCATACAAAGTGGCTGTCAAATTGTGGACAAATGACGCTTACGACAAAATTTTACTAAAGCAAATCCTTCATAAACTCAAAACTAATTAACAATAAATATTAAAAATTAAATAATTTAAGAATTTTGTGAACTAGTAGTAACATTTTCAGAGACTTTGGAGAAAATCTACCTTAGCGTTTTTGAGAAATTGCATTCCAAACTTCTATCGCGATTTCCCGCAAACTGCCGAAATTAACATACGACAATCTTTTACCCAGGCGACGACATGCAAATTCATGAGTACGCCGGACATGTGAGGGATTTGTGGTGAAGAAAATGTAAATAACGCTCGGAGTGCTCCTAAAAAATATAACTCCTCTGAGCAAGAGAGTGATTTGATGGCTTTACGAGCTAGGTGTTTTAAAACTTGCAAGTGTGTAATCATATTATTTTAATAAATAGAACACAATAAATATTTTACTTTTATTTTTGCCACTCCGAATTTAGTTTTGGAACTTACCCGCCATGCAAATTAACATCGTTACATCTAATTGTCACATTTTTTACGAGCTTTGGGAATAAATATGTTAGAAATGTAGCAGTAGGGGATCCACCGAAACCAGTAAAGTGTTGAAAGGGGTCTACGAGAAAAGATTGAGAACCTCTGACCTAGATGATGAAGTTTAACGAATAACAGACGAAGTAACGAGTAAATGACTTATGCCACTTTTAGCATAAACGACTCATATGTATGTCCATCTTTAGAGTGAGTTTGTAGAAAAACTAAATCAGCTAAAAATCTATGATTTCTGTATTTATTATTAGAATCGCTAAAAAAATAAAACAAAATTTTTTCGACCCGAAAGCTCCATTTAACTTTCCCTGTCTGTTATTTATGTGGTTCGGCTTAACTCATTTTGTTACGGAAAATACGTTGGAACGCGCGTATACGTATGTACATACATTAGACCGTACCACAAAAAAGGTACTCCGTACACCTCTGAGGCTAAAGTATTTCGGCAATTTCGAAAAAAATTTCTTTGCTTTTCATATCTTAAGCATTTACAATCGAGGGGAAATATTTTTTTGTTCAAGTTCCCCATTCTAGTACTTGCCCACCAGATCTCAGCTCTTATCACTCTAAAAGCATACATAGACGACAGCGTTGATCCGCATTAACGGCGCAGTTAATCCGATTAAAATTGTGCCTATATATAAGTACAATATTTTTTAATGTTGTTGTTTTTTAGTTAGTTGTTGTGGACCTTTTTAATAAGGTTAAGCTCTAAAATTTTTAATTACCTAATAATATAATAAATACGTGAAATAAAATACAACAAAATAAAATGTATAAATCAAATAAAACAAAAAATTAAAAAGGAAAATTTAAAAAATACATATAGTAATTGCTGGAGCCGTGAATCGAACCTGGGACCTGGGCTAGCGCGGATTCCAAATTCGCTTGCTTCGCTTGTTTACTTGTGCAATAGAATCAAGTTTCTCGCTCGCATAAATCTTAAGATTTTCCCGAAATATTTTCCCAGAGGCAACTTTTTTGGTGATGCCGCCTAATGTACACACATACATCAGTATCTGTTCACAGGACATAAGCACCAAATTCGCGCACCTTCTTCAAAACAGGCTCAATTCAAACAAAAAAAGGTAGTTTTTTCTGCATAAATATGTACATTTGAAGGCCTCTGAAAATATTGACGTCATTATTGATAGGGTGGGCGATTCTGGAAGTGGCTATTTATCTAATTTTCCGATGGGCGCCGTCACTTCACTGCTGGTGAAAGTAAGTGGTGCATTATTTTTGATCGGTTTGTGCAGCCTTCTGGTCACTCGACGTTTGACCCAATATACCGAAGGATGCAATATGAATTGCCGGCTAAAATAGATCGCGCATTTCTTCGAATTCGACGAGGCGCTATGGTTCTCATCTAAAGAAAGTATGAAATTTGAAGACATCCTAGACACTGGACTGTAGGGCAAATAAAGGCTGGTTTTCATTATGGCATATTTTGACAACAAAATTTGTCGACATATTTAGACACAACTTTCTTTCCTTTATCCCAAAAACTTACAAATAGCCGCTTTAGTAGCGCATGTACACGCCTGAAGGCCTATTCTGACCTAAATCAATCAAAGGTCATTTTTAGTCCCATTTGACAATTTGTTTTCACTCATTTGACCGCAAATGCCATTGAATTTGACTTAGTGAAAATAAGCGTTAAAATTAATAGAAAAATTTTACGAATTTGAGGATAGCTAAGTAAAGTGCTAATTTTAAGTTTAAGATAATACATAATACGTATGACTTTTTTTAATTTCTTCCTTTTGACCACTCTTCTTTAGAATTGTTTATTCTTCAAAATGAAAGTGAAGCTTATTCTCTCGTGCCTACAAGTAAATATATTAGTACGGTAAAGGAAAAAGAAAAAAATTACCAAAAATGCATCTGATCAAAAAATGATTGTACCCAAAATCTAGTGACTGTACCTAATGCACCTTTAAGTCATCAAACGTCGAAAAAAGGTACAATTGTACCTACTTTTTCATCCCTGGTTCATACTCTTTTTCGTTCGAAATTACCCAATTACCTTCAAATAAAAGGGCGATACACAACACTGGGTTGTGCAACATTGTCCGATCAGCTGAGTTGCGTTGTTGACAGTAGTGATAAATGTTTGGAGGTTTTCAATTGCGAAAGTCGTGGAAAACTAAAGGAATTGTAAAAATTTTTTAATGCAGCATAAGTTAATGTTACAACTGATAGCATAAAAAGGCAACGACAATGGCGAAAGCGGTCAACAATATGGGAATGTCGATTGTGGAGCCTCATGAGCGGATTCGCTTCCTATCCAATTACGGAAATATAATTGAAGTGGACGCCAATGTGCCAGTTACACGGTGAGTCAGTTTGAGCCATGCATTTTAGTAAGGGCAGGAGATTTGAGAATATTTACTAACCCGTATTAAGCGCTCCATACGTAATAGATTTAATAAAATAGTATAGGTAACCACGTTCGGAAGTGTTTCGACATGTCCTTGAATATCGTAAATAATGTACGTGTCCTTCTGGCTGCATGTTTGTATTATTGTTTTGTTGTACTTTTTCTTTCCATTGCATTCCTATACAGTTAGCAAAAGTAAGTTATGCGGGCGGGAGAGTTAATACAAGGACTCAATTTGAAAATATGGCATATATTTTGAGGATTTTGGTAGGGTGTTTCTAATAAACTATGTATTAAAATTAACTACTATATGTCATTGAAGTTCATAACTATAATTACTTATATCTGTATGTATTTATACATATACATTCCCGCAGATACTATCGCTCGGGCACTGAAATGCTTCGCATGGCAAATGTTTATCTCGCTGAGGGAAATCACGAAAACGCCTTTATTCTCTACATGAAGTATATGACGCTATTTATCGAGAAAATTCGGTCACATCCAGAATATCCTAAAATAAAGTCTGAGGTAAAAGAAATTAATAAACGGATTAAAGATGAAATCATGCCGACCACTGAGAAATTGCGCGCCAAACTGCTTGACCGATACCAAAAGGAGTATGAACAGTTTCTTGCAAACAAGGAGGCCGAAAAAGCACGAGAATTGGAGCGGGAACGTAAAAAACGAGCAGCCGTAACTGAGGGCGGAAGTGGAAGAGGCGTAGGTTCCTATATACCAACTAATCTTCATGTTCAAATAGATCCAAGTATGCAGCCCAGTGCACCGGATGTTGGACTTTTGGATAAAGTTGTTTATCCCAATGATTTCCCAACTGGCGCAAATCGTTCAAACTTGCCCAGCTCAGGACTGCTCTTGCCGGGAGACGCGGACAAAGAAGGCGCAAAATCAATAAGGTTTGTTTGCTTGTAGGCAAATACAAATTTTCAATTACTTTGTTTTTGTGTCAAATATTAGTTTATTCACTTGAAATTTTTTATATATAAATGTCTTATTTTCCTGCTGTAGTAAACCGCCCAGCTTTGATCGTAGTCAGAAGCCGCAATTCGAACGCTCCGACTCCCTACTGGCGGGATCATTGCGCACTGTAATGATTCCTGGAAACACAATGGATGTATTCTTGCAACTGGCGCAAAGCAATACTACGAAGAATATCGAAACTTGTGGTATCCTAGCAGGACATTTGGCGCAAAATCACTTATTTATAACACATATTATCATACCAAAGCAACAGGGCACACCTGACAGTTGCAATACCATGCATGAGGAGGAGATTTTCGACGTGCAAGACCAGCAAAATCTCATTACACTCGGTTGGATTCATGTAAGGAGAAGTATTAAATTTGATATTTAACATTTCGGCAAAATAATTCAATAATTTTTCACATACTCGGCTGTTTCATTTTATTGCAAATAGATAAATCGCCTACCATTTTTAACCGACCGCATAACTTTGGACCACGTCAACCAATTTCGATAATCTTTTTGCGTCGGAAAGGTAGTGTCTCAGAGGTGGTCCCATACTAATCTGGTTTAGATCCGATCATTGGATCATGAAATATATACATATATTTTTTTTAAGTCGTTTTTGTTTTTGTTAAAAATTACTTGTAAAATAATTAACTATCGTGTCTTTCGAGCCGTAATGTAATAATTTATAGTCATCCTAAATTTTTCATCTTAAATATTGCGTGTACAATGGATCTGGACTTTGACACTTACATTAAGGTCGTTGCTTCCTTTTATTAGTTATAAAATTCAGAGAATACAGAGAATAAATTAGCATCGATACATATCTGGGATTGGTTAGTTGCTCTTTTGTCATGTGCACAATATTTATTTCTCGAATCGCTGGAAATAAACGTTGATCATAGTTTTGGAAAGAAAGCAATGCAGTCGCTCCCCATAAATAAAAGTGTCGGTTCGGTATCGTAGCCCGGGCTATGTTTTTATCTACCGCTAATCGTTAAATATTATTTATTCATATATTCATGATTCCTACTGGATTTTATTTTTCACTTGTAGACTCACCCCAGCCAAACAGCATTCCTCTCATCAGTGGATTTGCATACACATTGTTCGTATCAAATGATGATGCCCGAAGCAATTGCAATTGTCTGTGCGCCTAAATATAAAACGTAAGTCAACTCTAATCGGTACATTTGATTAAGACTAATTTCCAAAATCTCAAAATTTTCTATTACAGCACTGGTTTCTTCATCCTTACACCGAACTATGGTTTAGACTATATTGCACAATGCAGGCAAACTGGTTTTCATCCACATCCTAATGAACCACGCTTATTTATGGTAATAAAACCTTTATTAATGAGTTAATCTGGCGCAACTTTATATACATTCTTCACCATTAACAGGAAGCGCAGCACATTCAACTCGATAGCCAGAGGAAGATAGAAGTAGTGGATCTGAGAAGATAGTATGTGGAGTTTTACGTTTGAGAAGGCCTTATAGACACTATATTATACATACCTAGGAAAAAGATGGCGTAATGATCGCTAAGCGAATTTAAAATAAATGGAAAGATGCAACAAAGGCAAATATGGGAAAATTATAAAAAGTTCCTTTTGCAATACCACAGATGTGAAGAAGATAAATCACCAAACATGCATTTGCACATTTTGTAATTATGTATGTGCATCAGCATTCGCAAAATCAAAGAAGAAAATTTACTTTACTACGCTATAAGGCAATACTTTTGTAACAAATATGCTAGCACGCTGCATCCAGATCGCGAAATTAACATAATAAATATTGAGACATCTTGCTGCATAAATTTAAAGAAAAAATATTTTTAGACAATTTTGCGCTGGAAAAGAAGAATTCTAGACAGGAGAGATTTTAGTGTAAAGATTTATAAAATGAAATTGAATATAGAAACAGAGTCAAACAAATTATTGCTGTGATTTGCAATAAATGTTAAACAAACGTTAGCAAAGCCTACTTTGCTTAGCTGCAGTTGTACCTTTCTTTGCCGATGTCGCTTTTTTCAATGTTGTTATTCAGTTTATTTATATATCACCCCTATTTCGAGTTTCGACTATTAGTAGATAAACGACTATTATTCGATTAGCGCTTTCCATGGTATTGTGAATGTGGATTTCCCGTTCAGTTATAACTTTTTGTTTGTAGAAGGATGAGCGACTAAATATAATTAAGACTCACTTATTGAACGAGGAGACGACATTGAAAATACCATGGATAATCGAAAATCGAATAATAGTCGTTTATCTATTACTAGTCGAAACTCGCAATAGGGGTGTATACTTTGTCTCGTTGTACAAGATGATTTCACTATAAGTGCATTTTTACGCTTAGATGATGTCATTGAGGGCTTAGTAAGCAAACTTAGTTTACTCTATTTACCAAAATAGTTAAAACAAACAAATAAATAAATCATGAAATGAACAACTTGTTATTAGTTCTAGCAGATATTAGTTATACTAAATTATTGTGTATTAAAAAAGTTTAATTAAGTGCATAAAAAAATAAATACAAATAATGTTAACTAAACACCCAAAAATATGTGGATTCCCACAACAAAACGCGATAATTTCAATTTTTTGTTTAAATATATATTTTTTTTTTTGCATCTGATAGAATCGAATATTAGGTATTAGATATAACACAGGGCGAAACTGATTTTGGTACGGCAAATGTTATAGCTGTTTTTGGGAGACATTTGTGCTGGTTACGAATCCGTAAGTTTAAAATTTCCATCAGCTCGAGATTTTGTTAAACGGTGACAAAGTGTCAAAAAATCGCTCTTTTGCAATGTTTGGAAAGTTCTAGCAAAGAGACAAGAGGTGATAAAATCTTTTTAGGCTTAAATTACAAGAACTTTCGATTAGTGTCCCTGAAAGTACTAGCCCTACACCTAGACCTGATGGTCGCTTATAGTTATTTATTGAACACTAAAAAAATACTGGAATGTTGTGCTATTGAAAAAAAAATTCCAAAATCAGTTTGCTGTTGAATATACGACCTTAGGGTCAAGTTGCAGGGGTGAAATTTCCAGAGATTGTAGTCGAAAGATCAAGCCTTAATATAAGAAAAAAGTTAAAGGTTCTATCACCTTTTGTTTAATTGCATTAGGTACTCAAACTTCGCCAAAATCAGTTTTTGCTGTTGAATAAATGACGTTTAAGTGACAATCAGATCAAGGCGGTTGGATGATATTTTCAGAGATAGAAGACGAGAGTTCTAGCTATATTTTGAGCCTAAGTGGCAGAGCCTCGTATGTGAGGTTGCCAAGATTTTATGGTAGAGAGTAGAGCTAGTCCTATTTCGAAACGGGGTTCTCTTTTATCCCTAATTATCTCTTCTTCTTATATCTAAGTTTCGATATTTAAGTATAAATGGATAAGGGCTTGATGCCAAGAGCTTCCAGTGAGCAAATATATTTTTTGGCACAAATGTCAATTACGAGGTTTTGCAGAACGACGATACGCGGTTTTGTACTTTAAACGACGATATGTATTAAAGTGCAAGTATTAAGTTGCTAAAAAAAAAATCAGTACAGCGCCTTCTTCTTGACCTGCAGGCTATGTCGGAGTCACAGCCGCTAAACTTACACGTAGAATACGTGATATTATCAAAGAACGTATCAAAGAACTTTTTATATTAGCCAAAGAACGTGGATAACAAGATGGGACAACTCGTTATAATTATAGCAAAAGTGAGTAACAGGGGCGTGCCTTCTCTTTTCATCCAATTAACAAAGGTACTAGAGCAACTGTTGTTCGCTAACTGTTGGCGAATCGATGACGGCTAATGTCACGCAAAGCTACAAAGTTTTATCTGGCATCAGCTTAAATCGCTGTTGTGGCATTCTTTTTCTCAACTAAAATTTTTTATTTTCTATAGTTTATACAACTGGTTTATCTTATTTTGGCATTGGACTTTTGTTTTAGGAAGGTTTCTATTTTTAATGCTAAATGGTAAGAATTACAAATAATGGCACCTTTTTTGGCACATTTTGGCACTTTTTTATCCTCAATATGGCACTTCATAGCTAAGGATAGCTGGGAACCCTGAATACTGCTTCATTCATTTGAACGCATGTTAAAGTTCGAGTTTTACAATTATTGACATCCTAATGTTTGGGTTATTTTTTTCTTTTATACCCGACGGCGGGATGTTGTGACGCCTGAAGGAATCAAGATAGATATCGTCATATCGTCGTTTAAGGTACAACACCGCGAATTGTCGTTCTGCAAGACCGCGTAACTGACATTGGCTGCCAAAAATTGGATTTGCCCAAACAAGCTCTTGGCTCAAGCCTTATCTATTCGTCCTGAAATATACTAGCCAGAAATGCGATTGCTTTATAAAAAAAAATAACTATTTTGAAATATGAGTGTTTTTACGCTCTAGGAAATAATTTCTACAACTTCACATACGCGGTTTTGCATTTTGTTGATACGCGGTTTTGTACTTTAAACGACGATATGTACATAGTTGTTAACTAAAGTGTGCTTTAAAAAATATCTAAATGACAAGTAACGAAAAGTGTGTAACTCTACTTATTTACCACAATTTTCAAAAAAATTCGGCTTATCGCGTACAGTTGTTGAAGCATTTCATTTAAAAAATTGTTAAAGCATGTATTGTATTATAAAAACAATTACGAATAATTTGATACCTTAGCAAGAGGTTTGCTATCCGAATAAACCAACTTTTAAAGATAAAACTTTCTGCGATCTCGAGCGTAATTTTTATTCCAACAACATCTTAATTGAAGGCAATTCGGAAAATACGTCGAAAAGATCTAAATCTTTTTATAACTACTAGCCCTCATACGTTACATATATGTACCTGTAAAATATTTAAAAAATTTGTTCTCTAGAAGTGTGTAAAACCCCTGATTTACTAATTTTAAAGATGCTCCTTCTTGTAGTCAGGATATTTCCAGCACGGTATCAAATAATTTTTTTTTTCGAAAAAGGTTCTGATAGTTGCTCTTACTTAATTGGAGCCTTCTAAATTCCCTCCACTCCGCTTTCCGAAAGCGGTATTTGAAACCTTGCTAAAATTTTAACTATTTTATAAAAAAACTCCCTCAGTTTTGAAGATATTTTACTAAGATTTTGCCCGCGATTGTATTGTAATATCAAATAAAACACCTCTTTTAGGTAAAATTTTCGAGTGACGAAAGCTGAACTACAAACACAAAATTTAAGATATCAATTTCGTGACGAAAATTATACGCATTTTTTAACTGCCTTTGAAACGTACGGATTTTCAGGCAGCAGCCACGCCCACACAGGCATACGAATCAAAACATCCTGGAACAAAACGTTCTTAATTTTTACTGTACTTTAATTCCTGAAAGTTTGAAAAAAATTAAATGAAGGTACGTACAGACGCCACATACATACATACCAAGGATCTCGTAGTGGAGTCACGAACCAAAACACATTTAACTCTATTTCTTTCCAACTAGTAGCCGGAACTCAATATATAAGGTATCGTTTGAAAGGTATTGGCCTATAGAATAACACTAAATATGTTGGGTGTACCCACATGCCCTCTTAAACCGGTAAAAGCAAAAAAACGTTTTTTGTTTCGCAACACTTTAGCCTAATTTTTAAGAATCCGGTTAATCGTTTATGAAGCTTGAATACATTTTCTGGATACACTCTGCAAGACATTTCCAATGATATCTCAAACATGTCGATTGGACGTCTGGATAAGAACTTCCAAATCTCGTGTATATATAAGCGAGTCATTTCAGCAACTTCTGGGCTGCTTTCGTCACTCGCGCGCACTGCCGTGCGCTGTGATTACCTTCACTATATAACAGTATAGTATAGCACAATAATTAAGGCAATATTAAAAAACCGTTATGCGCTAAATTTTAAGAGATACTTTTCTAAAGGGTACTTTTGGAAAATGGGAGTGGCACCGCCCACTTATGACTACATAATTTTATCTCGGCAACACGCTTTATCGATTTCTACAAAATACGGTAAAATTGTTTCATTAAGTCTTAACTGTGCATATTATCGACAATGTTTGAAATAGCGGTAAAACCACCCTTGCTTACTATGTAACTGTAGTTTTAATAAAGGTAAAAATATGCGAAATTTCTCTTCCTTCACACCAAAACGCAATAGCTCAAAATGTGCACCTACCATAAAGGTGCCCACGATTATTACTATTATTTTTTCGATCATTTTCAATCGTTCGGAGTTAACTACGCACTGTGAATTTTTCAGGATTAATCCGGTCTGATCCTAGAAAACCAAAAAAAAGTTTAGTGTTGACAATTAAATCAACAAACGTAGATCTAAAATAACCTCAAGAACCCCAAAAAAAAGTTCAGCAGGAAAATGAAAACAAAAATTCTTTGATTCCAGTGATGGGTAACATTTTATTTACCAAAAATTAAGTGCTAAGTATTTTAGTGTTTATGTTGTAGTTAACATGTACCAAAGTACTATTTACTAATATTTTGGATGTTACTAAATACCGAGTAGGCTAGTAAATCTATATACATACATACATACGTATTTCTAAATGGTATTTTTCAGTTACCCAACGATATCTCATTTATTATTTTATAAAATTTAACGAGTGATATGTCATTTTAATGGAGAGGAGCTCACGTACCTGCGAAAAATAGTCACGTTGACAAATTTAGTTATTTATTAAAGAAAAGGGGTTTTAAAAAAGCTGAAAGCACTGTATCCGGACAATGAACCGCCATAACTTCTCTAAGACACCATCTAATTGAATGATTAAAACATCATTTTGAAGGAAAGCTTCATCGGTTGAGTTAAAAAGTAAAATTTTTTAATAGGGTTGCCACCCGCTTAAAATTTTAGTGACTTAAGTTTAAACCGAGTAAAATATTGCAACGCATTCAGGGAATGCAATACCTTTAAATACACTCTAAACCAGATGTAATAATTTTGAAGAGGGTTGTCAACTATTTAAAAATTTAAATGTATATATACATATTTGTGTAAAACAAAGTTGTAACATAATACCGAGCATAGCTCTAGCATGAATTGTCCTATGTGAGCTGTCTTTTTTTGTTGTGTTTGTCTCTACCCAAGGTAAACCGAAATCATTTTCTGAATGGAAAATTCCGGAAAATAGGTTTTCCAAAGATTTTGTACACAAAATTTTTTATATTTTATCAACGCTAACCAATTATATAGGTTGGATTAGATTAGATTAACTGTATGAGGGAATTCGGATTAAATATATAAAATCCGCTTTATCATGATTCATGAGTTTCGTTTTCCTCGAACTGGCTTATTTTTATTATTATTATTATTATTATTACCTCCCTTTTATTAGCTCGGGATGTAACTATGTAATATTGATGCGCCTAAAAGATGCAGCGATTTCTATTCTCAAGTTACATACTTGATGACAGTAGGAATGGAAATTATAATACATACTTATCGAGGTTTTAGTTTTTTAAACTATAATTTCATTTCACGTTTCGTTTCCGGGTATTCACTATGGGCGGATGAAAAAATTTCGGGCAAAACCCAGGATAAGGCTGAATGAGAATATTTGGCAGGTACATTTCTTTTGCGAATATGGATCGATTGCTTCGAAGATAGTTTGAGTTCATGGGCATTGTACTTTCAGTGTCCGTAAACCAATTGCCGATCAGAATTCACCTATACCCTGAGTTGCGTCCGAAAAATAGTTATAGTTAATACTTGGAGACAAAAAGTGAAAAGTGAACCGGTTGGGGGGAAAATGAAATTCCTGATAAGGCTATGAAACATTGGCTCACGCAACCGCAATTTACAAGGATTGGCGATTAGCAGTGCACCATCAAAATCCTCAACTTAATCTGCAGCTTTGAATGCTTGCGACGCGTATTCATGCTCCTTAACAACTGAAATAAAAGCTGAAAGCCGATCTGTATCGTACATCGAGAAGAAGTACCGTGAATGTCCAATTACTTGGGCATGCCGCACCGTTGAGTATATCGAAAATGGCAGTGGAAGATACTCCTTCTGACGACCCAAAAACCCATAATCACAGCAGGTAAATGTGCCACGGAAAGTTGGTTAAAATATTGCAAAAATGTTGGGCGAGATGAAGTTCGCCGGATAAAAGTATTAAGTTAGTTTCACCTAACGCAACACCGCTTACAAAAGTACATTGAGACATCGGCTTCACGAACTTCCGCGTACAAAAATATTTCGATATTTTCGGGGCTACTTCGGCATTTTTGAGACTATTTCCGAATTTTCGATATTTTTTGGACTATTTCGGGATTTTCGAGAGTACTTCGAAGTTTCTAGAGATTTTAACCATTCTAGTCTTTTTCGAGACCATATATATCGATAAATGTGTATGTCAATAAAAATATCGTTCATTAATATCGATTAGTACATCGGTAATAATATTGATAATTATCGATAAATATATCCATAACTAACAATATATCGATAACAATTTCGATTATTATAGCGATAATCATATCGATTATAACATCGATAACAATATCGATAAATATAACAATTGCAAAATCATTAAATTTATCTATAAATATATCGATATTAAGATATTACGAGAATTTTGAAATACTCCGGAATCATGAAATAGTCCCGGGAATCCCGAAGCAGTATTGAATATCTCGAAATGGTTCTGATTAAATTTTTTCTAAATCATAAAGTATTTAGCCATGTAATAAGTACCTTAGTACTTTAGTGAATGTAGCCTTTATTTAGGCATCGAACAGCTCCTAAAAGGCAAAGTATTTTTTACTTTAGTAGTTACCAACTCCTAAATATGTACATACCTAGGTTTTGTTTATTTGAATATTTATACATCTCCAAATATTAAGTATTTGAGTTTTTAGTACCCAAACTGGTATCTTAAATACAAAAGTACTCAAGTATGCCAATCATTTCATACCATGTACGTATGTGTGTGCATACATACATATATATATATATATATATATATGAACGTACTTGTAAAAATTTGTTTTTAAGCCAAAATAATTCGATTTACAACTTATAAAAAAAAACTTAAAATAACTGTTATAAAAATAAAAAATAACATAATAACGATTAAAAATTATCGTAAAAATAAAAATCATAGATGTAATAACGATTAAAGTTTAACAAAAAAATAAAAATCATAAAATAACGATTAAAGATGATCAAAAAAATAGAAATCATAAAATAACGATTAAAGATGATCAAAAAAATAGAAATAAAATAACGATTAATGATGATCGAAAAAACAAAAATCACAAAATACCAATTAATTAATGATTTTTAGTATAAAAATCATAACGGTTACGGTCCCTGCCTGAAAAGCTTGTTGTGGAGTTGTTCTCTAATGTTGACTTTTGACCGTTTTTGAATGCCTTCTGGCCATCTGTGCGTTGTAAACAATGCCGTTTGTAAATAAAATCCAGCTAATAGACACAGTTCTGTTTCCCAGAGTGGATGGAAATCTCCTAAGAGCTTGGTCGTTGAGTATCAAACGGAATGTCATTGAATATGCAACAGAGGACATTTTTGCGCTCTCGCAAGGACACTTTAACAGTGGTGAAATGTTTTTGGTGCCAGCCGGTAAATAGGACGGTTTGCAGGAAGATGAAATTATATTTACTTCCGCCTGTTAATCATCAAAAAATGTACGTACGTACATATGTATGTACATACGTTTTTTACTTTCCTTGTTATATGTATGTATGTATGTATATCGCACATTTGAGTTAAGTTTGCAGAAATGACTGCTACTTGGTCATCAAGGTTGGGTAAAAATTGCACAGCTGTACCGATTACCAGTAGCTCACTAGAACAAAATACATACATATGTATACATTTTTACTATGGGAGTATGTACTTATATGTAAATACAAAACCTTAAAGCCGTTTTTTCTCGAGATTTTGATATTTTAGATTATGACACTCTTACAGCAAATGTGTGATATCTACATACATTCATACATATGTACATTGATAAAGCTTTAAAAGCGAAAACTCACGATGGAACATGCAGATATGTATGCATGTATGTATGTATGTATGTATGTGTACTTGTATGTAAATTAAGATTTTTTCCTAATATAAAATAAAAGGAATTGATTACTGATTCAATGCAGCACTCTCATTATTCATAGGCATATTATTAAATGTATGTACATAGGTATGTAGAATTACATTTTTCTCCGCATTCAAATTTCCATCAGTTTTCCATTGCTGTAAAAATTCTCCAATAACCGCTCAAAGCGCTTCCGCATGGTTTAGCCGAGTTCAGTTCTTCGTGGATTGTCAAGTGTTATACATAGAGTGCAATCGGAGTACCACTAAACTAGCTGAGCGTTGTGAAAAAATCAAAAGAAGAAAAAATAAAAATAAAAGAAAAACTGATTTGGTTAGTCGTGGAAAGAGTTATTATTAATTCAATAATACAATAAAAAGAGCAAGTAATTGATATTTTATGAAAAATCGATTTCTGCCACCCCGTCCGTTTTTAATTTATTTTGGATATCAACGTATTATGTGTGTGTATGCATTTATATCTACATACAAATGTACACACAAAATTAAGTGAATTTTCGCTTGCTAAGTAATCGCAAAGGTCAAACACGTGAAGAAGCGCAAAGCGAAGCAGGTCGCACCAAAAAGCAGTGCAGCTGTTAAGTGGAGCGGTTAAGTTTAGCCGTTTAGTTCGGTGCGGTGCGGTGCGGAGGCAGAGGGCTGGGCGGTGCTGTTGTGCTCCTATTCCATCGCGATAACACATCAACGCACGCCTAAAAATTGATTCTTTATTTGCTCACCGCCTATAGCCTTGCGATTTGACAGAATTTTCCATTGGGGTTATTGCTGCTCCTCGGAATAGTGTTGCAAAGTGACAACCAATTTGCATTCTTAATTCGTTGTTTTTTTTATTGGATGTTGTACATACATACATATGTGCTTAATATCATCATTAGTGAAACACTGGAGTGCAGACCAAAATCAAATTTTGTAAAGCACAAACTAGAGTGTTTTTCCATATCGGCAGGTGATTCAAGAATCACCATATAGCTGTTGTTGCTGCACTAAAACAGTTACTCACTAAGGCAATAATTCACAAAGTTTTGGGAGGCCGGGTGGCGGAGGAAGAAATCCAACAGCGGAGGGCAATTCAGGCAATTCTGGCTCGTGTGGAAGGACTGTTAAAAGTGTAGTTTTTAATTGAACAGCTGTTAAATAAAGCATTTCAGCCAAAAGGAATACCAGCTACCTGCCATCTCACTCGTCGTGTATCTTTTTGGTTATAATGAGTATTATTTGTCTACACAATTGGATACTGCCGTCAGTTCAATGTCAAGATGTAAGTCAATATCCTTGAAAACTACTAAATATAAATGTAGATATGTATGTACCTACGTATGAAAGTGCATATGCATGTGAATATGAATATTTAAATGAGTTACGGTTAGTGTGTCAACATATGAGGCCATGAGAGGCAGAGGAGCCTATCTGCAAAAAAAAATTGTTTTGGATAATATGAGTAAGAAGGATCTATAAATAATAAATACAATCTTTTACTGAAAAGTACATTGCGCTTAAGTGATGCATTTTAACCTGTGCCTAAAATATGTTTAAATGTCTGGCTACTCTGGCTCTCAAGGCCTCATGTGCGAATATCGTTATTTGGTTGAAATTTTAACTTATGTTTTTGGTGACAGGTAATAAGATCAACGGAAATAAGGTCAATTGACTTTATTTCCCACCCTGGTGCGAAATAAAGTCAATTGACATTATTACCTTTTTAAAAACGAAATAAAATCAATTGACATTATTTCTCTTTCAAACATTAAATTTGCTTAGCTTCGCGGCGGGCCGCGTCAGCGCGCTACACCGCGCGCGTCGCGCTCGCGCCCCGCGTACCCCGCGCGACCGGCGCGCACACCGCGTCACGCTACGCCGCGGGCCCCCCGGCCCCCCCTCCCCGTCTCCCGACGTGCTGTAGCGCAGGTAGATTAATTTTTTGTATACTTCGAAATAAAATTGTTATATATTTTAAACATCGAGGGCTTATATTCAATAATACCCCCTATCTGCACACTTTTCACAAAGATGAGATTTTGATATAAGAATCCACCTAAGCTTTAACTGTCATCAGTGATATTAATGCTACCTTATATAACGACAGGTAATAAGTCCCAGATGGTTTCTAAAATCAGAAATTAGTTTTTGTGCAAATTGCAGATAGAGGGTATTAATGAATTCAAGCCCTCGATATTTCACATTTTTATATTTGTAAGTTATTGGAAGCAGGGATGCCAACTTGGCTCAAACCGTGCCATTTGTTCCTATTTTATTTCAAATGGCACTTAATTTTTCAATTTGGCACAAAATGCCAAAATGGCACTTTTGTAAAAAAAATAACATTTCAATACATTTTTGTGAAATCCTTTGCGTGCACTTCTTTTTCTCAACTAAAATTTTCTAATTTATAAAGGCTATTCAACTGGTTTATCTTATTTTATCATTGCACTTTTGTTTTGAAATTGAGGCTTTATTTTATTGCTAAATGTGAATGATTAAAAGGAATTACACCTTTTTTGGCACTTTTATTTTTCTATTTGGCACATTTTGGCACTTTTTTTATCCTCAATATGGCACCTCAAAACTAAGGAGAGTTGGCAGCCCTGATTGGAAGATTTCTGCTGTGTTTTGAGGCAACAACTTGTCTGCAGTAAAAAAGCATATAATTTGTGTTTCAAAAGTGTGTGAAAACCAATCCATTAACTTATATGATCTCGGTTCCGATATTAAATAATCAATAATTGTTTATACCCGCATTTTGGCACATTGGCTCGTTGAATGTGCCATCTAATAAATAGTGTCGTCGTTCTCCTTAGCTGCTTTTAAATGACTGCTGGCGGAGACATAAATACAGTGTAAGAAAATTCTTTTTCTAGAATTGTTTCCTTATAGAAAGGTTGGGTTCTTTTCCACCTTTGACATTCCGAATTCGTTCAAAATATGCTAATTTAAAACACAGAATTCTTTCAGTGCTCCTCCGGGGTTTTTGGACATGTACTGTTTCTTCAATTTAATAGTGTTCGCTTTATTGTTGTAGAAACGAAAAATGTTTTGCATGTTATAGATCATCTCTCCACTCTTTCTTCAAATATTTCTCGTATTCCAGCTGTACGCAGGAGTTTAGTTTTTCGCATCGTGTTTTTACATATTCGTAATTTATATTCTTTTTGTAATAGAATCAATTGGAGGTAGTTCATGATTGTGTGTGGATTAATATAACAACACTGAGGATTTGGCAAAAGCCTTTTTCATCTATTAAAAAACAACACTTACGGGGCAATGTTTATTGTAAGAACAACATTTTTTTCTATGAATCGACATACTTTAAGCATTGTTGACGCTATTTCCATTTGAATGAGGAAATAGCGTCAATGACTTTATTTCCAAATTTTTGTTGACTTTATTTCGCTTTTGAAAAGGTAATAATGTCAATTGACTTTATTTCGCACCAGGGTGGGAAATAAAGTCAATTGACCTTATTTCCATTGACCTTATTACCTGTCACCATGTTTTTAGCTTTAATTTTGAGAGTAAAATAAACCATTTTATACTTTCCCATTAGTAAATATTCGCAAACAGTTTTCTAACTACCGTCGACCTTTTTAATGGCTTCATTCAGTTCTAGGTGTATGTATTTTTAAAAGTTAATATTTAAGTGCACATTACGGCCTGAAAAAGCCTGATAAATTAACAAAGGTCCCGCAAAAGATGCGGAAAAGTTTCCGCAGATCTCGAAAAATTCTAGAAATGGTACCGATGACAATCCAAACGACCTCGAAGGATAAAACTCAAAGAAGCCAGAATAATCGTTAGCCCTCCCGAAAAGTACCAAAATATCTTAAGTGGTTCGGAAAAATATCGAGATGAACTTGAAAAGTCTGAGGATGCCTACATGCGAACAACGTGTCGCGAGGCGTAGTGAGCCAGAGCGCGCAATGCGCGACGCGACGCGGGGTAGCCCGCCGCAGGAACGCGCACCGCCGTGGTGTTATGCACTTTTAAAGCTGCACTCAGAAAAACATTCCCTGATGCTAGGAAAAAAGTATATTATTCTAAGGGAATATTAGCTTTAAATGGCTTCAAAGATATGGTTGCTTTAATATGAGTAAACGATTCGACTCAGTTTAAGGAAAACACAATTCCTTATATAGTCTTCAGGACTATTGTCTTTGTTCATGGGAAAAATTAACTTTCCCTGAAAGGAATAAGTTTGTCATTTTACTCGGGACGCTCAAACAGTCGCAATGGCCGACAAGCAAAGCCAAAGTCCGTGAATTCTTAAGTTTGTGTCACGCTTGCTTGGCGAAAGAGAAAAGCAATCAATTGATGCACAGCAAAACTTTGAAAATGGTGCGCTCTTTTACAATTTTATTTTCACGAAGTTCGTTTATTTTTTAGCAAACTTTTTCCTAAATTAATTAAATTAAATTATTTTATATAACAACTTATGAAATCGTTTAGAGGATGTTTAGGAGTACCTACCTCCAAAAAAAAAAAAAACATTTTAGTAAATATTTTAAAAGTGGCCGTTTCACGAATTCTTAGCCATATACGAGTATATGTACGTGCATACACATGTGTATATACATACATATGTATATTTGCATAAGTCTCCCTGCAAACTGCTTCGTTTCTAAAAATATATCTTTGGCGCGCCTACACTCAAAGCTGCGTGTATGGGCGCGAAGTGATTGTCCGAGCACAGACAAACTCTTTAAAAAGAAATACCCAAGTAATACATTGAATTAGTGAACAATTTATTTAGAAAGAAAACGCATTATTTAAACGCGTTTGAACTTGCATACATACATATATACAGAGTTGCTACGTGGGTGTAAAGTTTTTTCACCGCCGTTCAAAATACAATTACACAGGCATATTTATGTATATGCGGGAAGTTCCGCGTAATTAAAAAGGAGAGAAGTCCTTTGATTGAGAATGGGAAATTTTCAAATTTGTATCTACCCATAGTGGGCGACTATATGTATATGCACATACATATCGACGGCTTATATGGGTGTTTCCTGCGTTATGGACGTTCCGTTTAGAGACACTTTTTTCATTATAAAAACTATAGCAGGCTCTGAATGAACACAAATGTTTTGTCATGAGTAGTCATCATCAATACCTCCTATCTGAAACCAATAAACATATTTTCCACAAATGTTATATGGTAAGTGTATAGCGATTAAAAGTTCCCGTTCGGACGTTCCCAACATGGAACTCGTATCGAAGATGACTGATGATTTTAGCTAAATTCTGCGAATCTGTTAATAGTACATAAAAACGATGAATGAATGGTTGTTAGGATAATAAGCAGCCATAATCATTGCGTCAAATTGAACTTCCTTACGATGTTTAATAGCTGCCATAAACTGTTCAAAGTGGTTTTATCCTAAGGACTGTCTACTTTTATACTCGCCAAAATTCGCAGAAATTAATACCTGTTTTTTGTTTTCAATGAATCTCTTTTTACGCAAGTTAGTCGCATCTTGATGCTTTTTTGCCATGATATGATCATTTTTAATTTTCCTCCTATAGTTTTTTCTTTCGATCTCCCTTTTTTATATTTCGCCCACTTCTCTGCGTCTTTCTTCAAATTCTGTATCCACTTCATCGCTCTCTCGTGCTTTTAACGTTCGTTGAAGTCATTTCTTCATACAAGCAGAAGTATAGCTATACTATATCTATATACCTACATACATACATAGAAACAATATAAACGAAAGTTATTTGAAGCGTTTGGACGTTCCGATTTTCAATATACTTACAATCGTTAATCCTATAGCTTTCCGAAAAAATTTTATGCTTTTGTATTAAAATTTTGCCTAACAAAGTAAACGTTACGACTCTTTTTTTTATGTAAAGTAGGGCTGTGCGATTAATTGATTACTCAAAATTTTAATTAATCATAAAGTAAATAACTCAATTATTCGATTAATTGGAAATTATGATTACTCAAAAGTTCAGTTACTCGAGTAATCAAGATTTTTGATTAACCAAAAACAAAAATATTTGAGTAATTTGCTTTATGATTAATCAACATTTCGAGTAAAATGAGTAATCAACATTTCAACTCTTTACATATGTATAAAGTAGTTAAAGTTCCTTGATACCTTGAAAACAACGTTTCTGTTTTCAAAAATGAAAACAAAAAAATTTTTTCATATACAGAATGTAAAAAAGAAAATAAGCATTTTCCAAAGCAAACTCTTTTAACGAGCAAAATTATTTTTTTGAGTAATCATATTTCAAGTAACTCGATTAATCATCGTTTTG